AGTGCAAACATCATCAGCTCAGAAACTCAGCACAACAAAAATCCTCAACTTCAACCGTAAAACAGCCATTTTTTTATTTCCTCTGTAAAAACTTTCAAATTGAATCTCTTTAAAACTCCTCGGCAGTATATTCCAAGCAACAGTACACAGAAAGACTTTCTACCTGTTTCACTCTTAAATCTACAAGGACAAATACCCCTGCTACTCGCTCTTGTAGAATGACAGTGTACCTCACTAACTAAAACTTAATAAGTAAATATTTTGGGACCATTTTCTTTAAAATCTTAAACACCATCACCAATTTCAGAAAAGTGACTCTTTTTCCAACTTTTAATAAATTAATTTGACTATAATATTCATTATTTAAATGTGTCAGTAGAAGTACTTTGATAACAATTCTGCAACTTATTTTGGGCCGTCTGCAATTTATTTTTTATTTTTGTGGAACTACTGCTGTACCAAAAGACTGCAGCATAGTCAAAGTATGACTGCACTAATGCACTGGCCAATATTTGTAAAGTTTGGAAATCTAAGAGCTCTGTCTATCTTGCTAAAAACTTAATTTTAGAACCTTTGATTGGACTATAACAGCCATCTTCTCACCTGTCAAATTACTATCTGAAATAAAACCTAAATATTTCCCTTCATGTTTGGGTTCATTAATTTGATGCTCTACTTTTACCTCTGATCTGACACATTTTCTCAGTTTCGCAGCTGAACCAAATAAAATAAATTCTGGTTTACACAAGTGTAAGGACAATTTATTAAGGTTAATCCATTAAGAGACTTCCTCAGTTTGTTTACTTTTTTTATTTTCAATAAATTCCTTCCTCTCATGAGACACAATTATTGCTGCATCATCCGCATTTAACAAAAGCTTTTTTGAACAGGCCATTTTCAAATCATTGATGTATATTAAAAAACCAAAAGACCTAAAACACTGCCTTGTGAAACCCCATAAGAAACGGTCGAATAATCTGAAAACACACCATTTAAATCTACTATTTGAAATCTGTTTTCAAGTTAAGACTTCATGCATTTACAGGCCAAAACACCAAAACCCATTGCCTTTACTTTTAAAATCAATATCCTGTGATCGACTGTATTGAAAGCTTTTTGCAGGTCTAGGAAAACCATCCCACTTAACTTCCTTTATCCATATCGCTCTTTATATAATTTGTTAAATAAAAGAAACTGTTGAATCAGTGGAATGATTTTTCCTAAAACCCGATTGAAACTCTACAATACGTCACATTTTAAACAATATTTTTCAATGTGCTAATAAATAACTTTTTCCCTCCCTTTTGACAAAGCACTCAAAATTGATACCAGCCTAGAATTATTAACCTCAAACCTACTACCTTTCTTAAAAAGAGGAATAACTCTTGCTTTTTTCAACTTTACCTTGACAAATAGAAAAATTGATAATATGTGTAACCATCGGAGTGACGCATTTAGGGAGTCTTTGAGGGAACTGCACTGGAATATTATCTAACCCTGTTGCTTTACTATTTTTAAGTGTTATTAATTTCTTAAATATATCCCCCTCCTCTATTTTATTAAACAAAACTTTCTAGATTAAAACTGCATTTGGCATAATACTCTATAACTAATTTATCAATAAAAATGCCATTTTGTACTGGAAGCTTTTTCGCCGTCAATATCAGGTGGTATTAAAAAATAATTAACAATGTCATAGTCAGATATAATTAAAACAAACATGATGAAGCCAGTAAATCTGGTTGTGACCTACCCGTGTGTTACTTTTGTTTCTGATGGGGCCAAAAATTATAATGTGCCATTTATGTTTAAAGTAAAATTATTCTATATATATATTTTTTAATTTGATATATTTTCAATTAAATTCAATATATTTCTGTCTAAGGCATATTTTTAAAATATAGACATGAAATTAAGATGATTTCTGTATTTTTGTTTACAAATAAACTTTCTGAAGTCTGCTAGTAAACTTTTAATTATTACTTACTATTAATAATGCATAGTCATCATACTCTAAATCTTTATTTCTTCAGTTTTACATTTAGAAAGACAAATCAAAGTTAAAAAAAAAAACTAATGTAAAAGTCTGCGTCTGACTGTGTTGCTCAGGCTGAACTGCAGTGTCTATTCACAGGCGCGATCCCACTATTGATCGGCACGGGAGCTTTGACCTGCTCCGTTTCCGACCTGGGCCGGTTCACCCCTCTTTAAACGACCTGGCGGTCCCGAGCTCACCCAGGAGCACCATATCGATACCGAACTTAGTGCGGACACCCGATCAACATAGTCCACTGCAGCCCAGAAGCCCTGAGCTCAAGCGATCCGCAGACTCAGCCTCCAAGCAGCTTGGATTACAGGCGCGCGCCACTGAACCCGGCGGGAGCTGAAAGAATCAGACCTGTGGAGAATCTGATAATTGCAGCGACCTCTAGTGGAGGAAAACTGAAAGACGAAGTAAAGTTGACTTTTTTGCCTTATGACATTGGATACATATAATTAGCAGTATGATCCCAAATTAAAAAAAAAAAAAAAAAAAAACTATACTATAGTCATTTGTAGTAAATACTGTTTTAAACACCATCGTCATGTTGAGTCTGGATTATAGTTTATCATTTGCTTGGGCTGTGACTGTAAGAGGATTTTAAAAGCATTCAGGTCTTGTAAATTACAGCGTTTGTAACTTTATAAAAAGCTAATTTATTTAATTATTAATAAAATGAAGACTAGCGGTATTATTTTACATTCTATTCAATTACTCTACCTGTGTTAGACTCATTGGAAAACAATAAAGCTCTGTTCATTTCATTTCTATAAGTTTTATTGTATTTATCTCTGCTTGTAGATTGTTTATTGTATTTTATGCAGATGCACCTAATATAAACAAATCGCCCGTACTATAATCCATTTTGCTATATATTTTATGATCCAATACACCACTGTCACTTTAGTCAAAAGTATACAAAACCATGGCCAATTTAGTGTTGGAGGTTTCATGGCTAAATTTGCCCAATCTTTATTGATTGCCACCAGTGAGAGCAGTGTGAAGGTTTAATTATTAGAGTAATAGCAGTTTCACTTAAATTATTACAATGCACACAATATTATGGGTGACCTATTAGAATTCAAAAGCAGCACATCTTTGTGATATGATAAGAGCCATGGTATCCTGCGTAGTGACAAAATATCACTAAGAAGGACAATCCACATCCACTGTGGATGCAGGAGGAAGCTGTAAGAAAGAGATGTCCAGGCGCTATAGGCATGGGATGATAACCGTTTTCAAGGTATAGTACGGTTTGGAAAATTCAAGGTTTTAAAACTGCCAAAATGTTCTGTAAGGTATGTGTACAATTTTTTATTTACATTTTTAGGACAATAGTATCTTCAGCAGAAAAAATATCCAAAGACACTGTGTAAATTGAAATGTTTTTGAAACTAATGAAGACAGAAGACAATGATTTATTTTCATTATTTAGTCTTGACATTTTTACTGCTCCAGAATATTTTAAATCTTTCAAAAATAAAATATATTGTTTATAAAGGGGAAATAGTTTTTGTTTTCTACCCAGACATTTAAAAAGAGTATATTTTTGAGCAGTCATCACAATACCATGATATTTTTGTCCAAGGTTATCATACAATTAAAATCTGACATCGGCCCATGCCTAGAGCTAACCCAGATTCTATTAAAAAATAAAGATCAATAAATAAAAGCACAGCTGCTCAACTTACTAAATTTTAAATGTGTATCTTCTCAACATTTGGGTTTCCACCAAAACTGTTCTCCAAAGGGTCAATATAGGTCAATATATATGGCCAGGCTGCTATAGCCAAACCTTTGATCACTCTTGTCAATGCCAAACCTGTTTCAATGATGACAGCAGTGTAAATCTTGGGCTGTAGGCAATGTGAAACATGTATTGTTGTCTGATGAGTCCACCTTCACTGTATTTTTCACATCTGAGGAGCTATGGTGTGGAGAAGCCCCAAAGAAGCGCACCCAGATTGTTGCATGCCCAGAGTGAAGCATGACTTCCTCCAACTTTTAAAAAAATGTTTTTTTTTTTCTATCTGTGCACATAATTGTGTAGATGAACACGTTCAATAATTTTGTGTGGATGCTCTCAGCGAAAGTTCTGATCAGCAGCAGGTATTGCAGTTGAAACAACTATTACAGACAGCAATGAAACAGCAAGCTGCAACGTGGATTAAAAAATGAATCATATATTGAATAGGAAGTGGGTTTTAAATAGAAAACATTTTCCACAATTTTGTCCTCCCAACTCCTCAAACCAAAGTTACACCCTTATAAAAAAAAAAAAAAAAAAAAAAAACTTATTAAAAAAAAAAAAATATATATATATATATATATATATATATATACATCTGTATATATATATATATATATATATACAGATGTAGATTTACAGATTTATCAATTCCATTTGTAACATTGTTAATACTTTATCTTTTCAATAGTGGTAATTATGGCTTTGCACTTGATTGTTAACTTAAAGGAAACAAAGTAATGAATGTCAAATGATTACTATCAAGTGAGCAGTAAATTGTAAATATATCGTCCCTTAAAAAAAGGCTAAAATGAGATTTTTTTCAATTTCTGTGGTCAATGTATACTTTACATGCAAAGTAAATAACGTTTTTCACTTCAAATATTTTTCCTCTCTACTTAGCAAGCATAATAATTTGGCACACAGAATCATATATTGTTTACAGACATAGACTGCCATTGAGGATTCACTAGGGATGTTTAGTCAAGTAAAATGGTCAGACTCAGGATTACTAAGTATGCTATTTTATTTTATTTGTATATTACATGAACAAATCACCAAAAACACTGGGCAAAAGCAAGCATCTTATTCTGTGTTGCTTACATTGTTTAATTTCTCATAGACTACTAATAATGAATTAAACAATTTAGTCAATGATGGTTTACCATGATAATTTTAAATATTTCGTTTTAATACACGAAGAACAAGTAAAAAGTCTGCGTCTCTCTGTGTCGCTCAGGCTGCACTGCAGTGTCTATTCACAGGCGCGATCCCACTACTGATCAGCACGGGGGCTTTGACCTGCTCCGTCTCCGGCCTGGGTCGGTTCACCCCTCCTTAAACGACCTGGTGGTCCCAAGCTCCCCCAGCAACACCATATCGATACCGAACTTAGCGTGGACACCCGATCAACATAGTCCACTGCAGTCCAGAAGCCCTGAACTCAAGCGATCCGCAGCCTCAGCCTCCCAGTAACTTGGATTACAGGCGCGCGCCACTGAACCCGGCGAGAGCTGAGAGAATCAGAGCTGTGGAGAATCTGATCATCACAGCGACCTCTAGTGGAGGAAAACTGAATGATGAATAAAAACTGACTTCATAGCCTTATGACATTGAATAAAAATAAACAGCAGTATAGTATGGTCACAAATTAAACAATTTGTATGTTATCTTGTCGTAAAATACTATAATGTTTTTGAACCAAAGATCATTATGCTTTTTTGTGAATGCCACAACATTCTGTATTAACTATTAACTGATAAAATGTAATAAATACTGTGGTATATATTTTTTTTTTTACTAAAGTAAAAGTGGTTTATTGTATCATAATACATATAGCTGTAGAAAAAATACAAAATGGGTGATTTGTTTATGATAGATGTGCATCTGCATAAATTATAATAGTCTATGAGCAGAGATAAATTCAATGAAAAACTTGTAGAAATGAAATGAACAGGGCTTTATTGTTTTCTGAGGAGTCTAACAGTCTTTAGCTATAGCATTTTGAAAATCAAATGTAAAATAATACCGTTATAGTCTTCATTTTATAAATATAAAAATAAATTATTTTGTTATTAAAATTACAAATGTGCAATTTATTAGTCCTGAATGCTTTTAAGTTCCTTTTTTAGTCACAGGCCTCATAACATATGCAAAGGCTAAACTATAATCTAGACTCATTCATTCATTCATTTTCATTTTGGATTAGTCCCTTCATTAATCTGGTGAATTATAACAGAAGGAATCACCAATTTATTCAGCATACGCAGCAGATGCCCTTCCAGCTGCAACCCAATGGGAAACACCCACACACTCTTGTATTCATACCCATACACTACGGGCAGTTTAGCTTATCTAATTCACCTATACTGCATGTCTTGCAAACACGGGGAGAACATGCAAACTTCACACAAAAATGACAACTGACCCAGTTTTGTGAATGATCGCATTGAGATATCGATGCTGAAATATTGTGCAGCTAAGAGATATTTCAGTCAAAAATTTAAATTTAGGATTTTCACAATCATAATTATGCGGTGAACTATCCATTTAAGATTAAGTGTGCAAACAGTGAACCTCTGAAAAAGTACAACTTTAATGGTTTAATCTTCCACTTTAATACCTGCTCCTTATCGTGAATAACTAGAATCATTAACTGAGATAAACAATGATCATTTAACCCTTGCTGAGATACTAACTGTGGTGTCAGATGCGGTTGTGACCATCAGTGCTTTCAATATAAGACTTGAGAGAATCTGACACAGTCTGTGGCATGAATTGATAGACTGTTTCATCTTTAGCTGCACATTATTCTGAATTGCACACTAACACTGAGGTGATGAAATAAAGCAGCAACAACACAGATTAAAAACCACAAACTCTTTGGTCTAAAGACTAAACAGTTGCAATATATATTAGAGGGTAAACTAAAATCACTTTGTACTCTCTGACACTAAATAAGTTTTTAGCTTTTATGAATAGAAAATTATGTTTGTGATTATTAATCTGCAACCAACAGATCAGGGTCATTGTACAATATGAGATGTAGATTACATTACACTGATAGAGGCCACATCTGCATCTGACACCATATTTAGTGACTGAAAAGGTATTGACTTAATTAGTGAATGAATGAATAAATGAGATATCACTGAATGAGTGAATGTTAGTCGCTGAACTGCTTTTCTGTTGTCATTTAAAAGCTTTTCATTTCCTGATGTATACTGTGGCCTATTTGACAAGATGTTTTACTGTTAAATGACACATTATAAATAATTTAGTTATGAAAATATTAATTCTATATGTATTATTCATTACATATTTTATAAATTATACATTTGCGTAAAATTGTGTTTATGACTCTTTGTTAATGCAAAAAAACAGCAATTGAACACCTTTTCTCAGTGTACTTTACTGCTTACTCTTGTCTTCTAGATGTGTGTTTTTATTAGTTTTTTTATCCATTGCCATGCAGCTATACAACAGTAAACCTGACTTGACCTTTAAATAAAGCACAAATGTTTGTTTTTTATATTATACAGTGTAATGAACTTTACTGTGTGGTCCCAAAACACTATAGTCTTTACTATAAATAACTATATTATTTTTTTATTTGGGACAAATATTTTTATTCAGTGCCATAAGACCAATAAAAGTCAAATTTACTTCAGCATTAATTTTTCCTCTACTAGAGGTCGCTGTGATGATCAGATTCTCCACAGCTCTGATTCTCTCAGCTCTCGCCGGGTTCAGTGGCGCGCGCCTGTAATCCAAGCTGCTGGGAGGCTGAGGCTGCGGATCGCTTGAGCTCAGGGCTTCTGGGCTGTAGTGGACTATGTCGATCGGGTGTCCGCGCTAAGTTCGGTATCGATATGGTTCTCCTGGGGGAGCTCGGGACCACCAGGTCGTTTAAGGAGGGGTGAACCGGCCCAGGTCGGAGACGGAGCAGGTCAAAGCCCCCGTGCCGATCAGTAGTGGGATCGCGCCTGTGAATAGACACTGCAGTGCAGCCTGAGCAACACAGAGAGACGCAGACTTTTCCTCAAGGAGCACTTACACATACAAAAAAGAGGAGAAATACTAAATAATCTCTTCCCTCATTTTTATTGTTCTGACAATTCTAGATTTATAGGGTCATCATAACTGCATTATAACAGGCTTCATCAGGCAGTAAATCTTTTGGACTCTTAAAATGTGTTTTGAAATATCAGAGACAATAAATATCACACACTTCTGATCACTTCTACATTTACTGTAATCCACTGCCACACACACACACACACACACACACACACACACACACACACACACACACACACACACACACACGCACACGCACACACACACACACACACACACACTGAAAATCTTCTGACTCAAATAGACAGTATCTTTATAGAAATGTATAGAAATATTGCTGTATAATAAAGCTTTGAACTAAAATTTGGATTTGGATGATGCAACTTTAATATTGTATTGATTTTAACACATAATGAAGATCAAACACAAACATGAATGGATTTATATTAACATTATAAACGCATCAAGAAATGATGAGCTTAGAGAGTTTTAAATCATTTTTAACGGATATGAACTTTAGTAGAAAATATATTTGAAGGTGCCTTAAAAAAAGTGTTAAAATACTTTAAAAACGGAAAAACAAATCGCCAATAGGTGGCAGCAAGAGACCGCTTTATTCGAGTGAAGCTTTGAGTGATTCATTCAGCCACGAATCACTGATTCATTGACTCGCCCGACTCTTTACAATGGCCAGAATCATTCGTGTACGGAAACGCTGCTGTGTTTTATTCAGAGATGTCCAACTGTTCTGCTGTTTATTTTATTATTATCATAGTAATGATTTCAATATTATTAATGAGAAAATAACGCGGAAGTTTTTTAGCGCCTGCCTCGTCACGTGATCGTCAGCATCCTTGGCAACGGTTCTTATTGTGTTGTTTTGAACTTCGCTCTGTCATTGGCATCTGATCTCGGCGTTCTTCGTGGCAACTTATTCGCAGACTATTGATATTATTGATCGTTGGATACATCGATTGATCGCCTGCTGCTCCCTTCATTCAGGTTTGACCCTTGCTATCACACTGTGGTTTGTATTCAGTATGTCTTGTGTTCATTACAGGTTTCAGAGTCGACTCACCCACGACTCGCTCCAGTTTGAGGGCCTCAACATCACTGTGGGAGAGCTGAAGCGGCAGATCATGAGGCGCGAGAGGCTGAAGTTCTGCCAGCTGAAGATCAGCAAAGCCCAAACTGATGAAGGTGAGATGAGGAAAAGCCACTTAAACTATATTACACTAACATTAGATGTGTTATCAGACAGACTTGTAGAAGCTGTGATGTGTTATCATGACTCTGATGGTGACATATAGTGATGTTTTCAGTGTTTTAAAATGCTAATGGCACTCAAAGTATACCATGGTAAATGATTATTACTATATTTAAACTTTATTTTGGTGTCAGAATACACAGATGATGATGCTCTCATCCCCAAAAACACGTCGGTCATCATCAGACGGGTCCCTGCGGCTGGACTGAAGTCCTCCAACAGAAGATTTGTTGGGTAAGTCATGTGAAATGAGCGCAATCGTCCACTGATAGATGTTATATCAAGAGTTTGAGTCTGTCTGTGGTGTTTTAGTCACACAAGCTCCTTTGTTTTGCAGACATCAAGCTGGACCATCAGCCAAATCCTCTCAAACAGGTGATTCTTCACTCCTCTCACTGGAGCAGCTGTTGAAGGTATTGAACAAATGATTAATTCACCCCCCAGTGCTGCTCTGTATGGAACTGCAGTGTTTGCATTTGAGGCGTCATAATGACATGTAGTGCAGAATATCAATACGCAGTGTTTAGCAAACAACAATACACACAAACACACACACACAAACACACGCAGTTTCTTAGGGAGATTTGAGGGTGTTTATTTAGAGCAAATCAGTAAAATAAAATTCTAATGTGCAAATGCCTGTGAAACAGACTGAGAATCTGGCTGAGGCAAAGGCATCAGAGGAGGACAAGCTAAAAGCGGTGATGTACCAGTCCAGTCTGTGCTACTACTCCAGCAGGTGAGCGTTCAGACACTGACAGGTTTGGTTACGGTTACGGTTTAAATGTTAGAGCTGATTCTCATGGTTCTGATGTTCATCAGTGAGGCCATGACACTGCTTGGGCTTCTTCCACCCAACTATGTCTGCTTCCACTGTGGGATCCCAGGACACCACATTAGGCACTGCCCCTCTAAAGGGGTAACTGGGTTTTCTAAGCTTATGGTTGCTGTGAACATGAGCTCTTGTCTCCATTAGTCAGATTGTTTGCTCTGTCGTTTGACTGTCACTCATGAATTCACAGAGCACCAGCTCTGCTTCGCACAAGCGCATCAGGAGGAGCACAGGGATTCCCCGCAGCTTCCTGTTGGAGGTGGACGACCCAAACCGAAAGGGAGTCATGATGGACGGCAGCGGCAAATACGTCATCCCCATCATAGACGCGTGAGTAAACTGTACTTGGCATTGCAGCATGTTCTAGTGTTTGTGAAAATCTCACATTATGTCTGCTTGTGTGTGTTTGCGCTCGATCTGTTCAGTGAGGCCTATGCTGCTGAGAAGAAAAAGAGGCCGTCAGCTGGTGCAGCATCTTCAGTCCAGGACGCCAGAGGGAAACGTTCCCGCTCCCCATCTTCACCAGAGACGCACGGCGACCAGAAGAGACCACGTCACTGAGAGACCTTCACCCAAGATACCTGGAGCCGACGTGAGCACAGTGTATATATTGTATATAGTTTATGAATAAAACTGAATAAAGATTATAGCAGCATAAACTGTGGACTGGTTGACCTTCACACAATACAGAAACACAAAAGAAAATGATCAACACATTAAGATAGAAATGATGAACTAACATGCTGCGGGAGAACCAGCAGGGCTCGACAATAAGGACTGCCCGATGGCCCGGGGCCAGCGTGCGAGACACTCGGGCCAGTGTACAGGATGTTACTGGCCCGATCGGGCCAGTGCTGCCTTTTTGCCTGCCAGATCGAGCCAGAGCTGCGTGCTGCGACTGTCTGTCAATTGTGTGCAAATACAATCTTACGGTGCTTTGACACATAGACGTTTGTTTCGGAATCTGTCTCGTTTCCCCGTTAGCGCGTTTTTTTTTTTGGCATATGTCCAGCAGTTGCGCTGGCATCCGCGGCCACGCCAAATCAATCAGTCCGAGATCGCCTGAATGAGACTGTCTCTGCCCTATTGAGCGGATCGATTGTAGCGAGAAAACAAAACAATGCAACGAACTAACGACCCAGGCTATATCACAGTGTATTATGATTGTGTTATAGCCATATATACGGCTATATGAAAAGAGAATGATGAGCAGGGCCAGATGTCATTCTTACCGGTAAATGCGAAAGTGAAAGCATGCTGAAATATTACCGAGAGCTGTTTATCCAGCCTGATCTCAGTTCATCCGTTAGGAAAATTGACCAAAGTTATTATAATCATTTTTTTCCATGTTTTAATCTTACAATATGTTGTGTTAGGCCAGTTGTTTTGTTCATTTCTGCACTGACGGCTCGAAAGAAAATCAACTTTGATCTGCTTCGCGATCTGATGCAGTCTCGGTTCATCTGCTATGTCTCTCTATAATTTAAGCCTAAAATACAGAATTATAGTCAACGTTTCTTTAATAGATTGATTAATTCAATAGATAGATATCTATACAAAACCTGACAATTGAAATGAGGTTCTGTATGAAAAAGTCTGACCTCGATTTGTATTTGGTGACGATGTCTGTGGGTTGTTAAAATTAAAGTGCACATTTTCACTTATAAAATATTCTATACACAACTGGTCAAAAGTTTGGGGTCAGTGTGATTTAAATATGTTAAAATAAGCTTCTTCTGCTCACCAAGGCTGAAATTATTTCATCATAAATACAAATTGTGAAATGTTGCACTATAAAATAACTGTTCAAAAGTAGTTTATCATTTAATTTATTCATTTATTCCAGTGATTTTAAAGATGAAAGTTCAGCTTCATCACTCCAGTCACATGATCCTTCAGAAATCACTAACATTAATTATTATTATATTTATTAATGGTAATAGTAATAAAATCAATTATGTCTGGAGTAATGATTTTATTTGAAACTACATACAATAACAAAGCAGTTATTTAAAATTTTGATAAATTTTTAACAATTAAACATTTTTTACATTTATAAATATAGCCTTGATGAACTGAATAATTTTCCCTAAAAAAAGTTTAAAAATTACTGTAAATATATATACATAGTTATTAGCCCACTTTTGTTGTATTTTCTTTTTAAAATATTTCCTAAATGATGTTTAACAGAGCAAAGAAATGTTGATATTTTGTCTGATAATATTTTTTCCTCTGAACAAAATCTTATTTGTTTTATTTTGGCTAGAATAAAAGCATTTTTTATGAAACATTTTAAGGTCAAATTTATTAGCCTTTTAAGCTACTTGTTTTTTAGACTGTCTACAGAACAAAACATCATTATACAATAACTTGCGTAATTATCCTAACCTGCTTAGTTAACCTAATTACCCTAGTTAAGCCTTTAAATGTCACTTTAAGCTGTATAGAAGTGTCTGTAGTGAAGTGAAGTGAAGAATATGTAGTCAAATATTATTTACTGTCATCATGGCAAAGATAAAATGAATCAGTTATCAGAGATGAGTTATTAAAACTATTATGATTAGAAATGTGCTGAGAAAATCTGTTCTCTGTTAAATAGAAATTGGGGAAAAAATAAACAGGTGCTAATAATTTAGGGGGACTAATAATTCTGAAATCAACTGTGTGTGTGTGTGTGTGTGTATACACACACCCACACACACCCACACACACACACACCCAAACACACGCACGCACGATCAAATAGCTATTAACTTCTTCTTTTTTTGGTGGGGCCAGTGAAAATTTTGGCCGGGCAAGTAAAAATCAGAACCACTGGCCCGATCGGGCCAGTAGAAAAAATCCTTAGCGTTGAACCCTGACCAGTGTGC